CTTATTTTAAAGTTTTTTTTTAATTATTGGCCAACGTTTTTATATTTTAAAAACTAGCCGTTGGCCTGCCAATTGAGCCATTTGGTTTTTTATAAAATAGCCATTTGGCCCCCAAACTTTGTTTTAACCCCAAATTTTTTATAATTACACTTTTTTTTCCTATTCTTTACTATAAATACCCCCTCATTCTTTCATTTTTACTCACAAAATTATCAATCTGTCTCATTTCTCAAACTCAAATTGAAGTATTCAAGTCTTCACTCATTTCTCAAACTCAAATTCTTAATTCAAGTTAAATCATGCCCGGTGATTCTAGATTGCACCCATTTGTTTTGGAACACTTTAATGTGGTAGAAGAAAATGAAGAAGTTTACAAAATAAAGTGCAAGAACTATGGTCGAGTCTACACTCGTCGTCCAAAGGAGGGCACATGCTCTTTAAGGAGGCATACAAAGAGTTGTCTTGCGTGTTCTCCAGATATTCGTATTTAAGATTTTAAGTTGATTTGAGATAATTTGTGTTATTTTAAAATTGTTAGACGTATTATGCTTAATGTTTTAGTTTGTTAGATTAATTTGAAGTATTATGTTGAAGCATTGAAGGCATTGAACTTTAATTTGAAGTATTAAATGTAAATTTTAATTTGCAGCTTTGATACCGAGTTCATCTTTATATATATATATATATATATATATATATATATATATATATATATATATATACTATATACGGCAATTTCTTGTAAATTATCTAAATTATATAGTATAGATATAGACATAAATTATATACTGTATCTATATCTATATCTCTAGCTTATATACGGCAGTCCTATAAGTATGCTCTTTAAAAATTTGAACCTGCCAATATCCAGATTTTAAATCAAATTTTGAAAATATATTGGCATCATATAATCTAGATAGCAAATCTCTTTTATTGGGGATAGGATACCTAATCCATTTTAAATATTAATATATATAATATATATAAGATATATATATATATATATATATATATATATATATATATATATATATAATTTACAAGAAAATGCCTTAGATAAAAAAAAATTCAAAAAAAATAGCCCGGCCCACTTAGGCCCGTTTAGGCCCGGCCCATTTAGCCCTAGACCATGTGGGCTTAGGCCCACAGTGGGCCGGTTCCATCCATTGGGACCTATTGGCCCGGGACCGCCAGAGCCCAGCCCGCATAAGCCCAGGCCTGTTAGGCCCGTCCCGTTAGGCCCGGGCCCGGCCCAGAATACAGCATTTACTGTGCCATCAACTTTGAGATTTATTTTAAGAACCCATTTGCTCCCAATTGCTTTGCGTCCTTCAGAGAGGTCAACTAGTTTCCAAACTTTGTTGACTCTCGTAGACTCCAATTCATCTTCCATTGCTTTTGTCTATTTATCCTTAGAAGGGCATGAGAGAGCCTCATTTACATTTTTAGGCTCGTTTTCTTCTTGCAGGAGCATCATAAATAGTTCAGCGCCTACAATATCAAATTCGGCGGGGAATTTTTTTACGAAAATTACGTCTTATTTGTGATTCATCATTGTTCCCATTTGGGTCAATGTTGCTCCTACTTGGGTAAAGAATATTCATCCTGCTCCCATTTGGAATATGATCCGTGACCATCTCACTCCACTTGGAACAAGATCCATTTGGCCACTTTCACTAAATGTATAAGGATTACTTTCATTTGCTTCTGATAATAAAGGAGGTCGTTAATGAGAAACTAATTCATCATCTGCTAAAATTCTCTCAGTCAAATGAAGTGATCCTTGTGCTTCTTGATCCATTATCTCAAACAAAGATAATGCTTGACCTATCTTTCCCTTCTTAGGAATCTCATCCTCTAAGAATGTGACATCTCTTGATTCAAACTTAGTTACACTCCCACTGTCTTGCTGGCTTATAAATACATAACCTTTTGAGGTTTCATAGTATATTATAAAGATAATTTTCTTTTTCCTCGGGCCCAATTTTTCATATTTACGAGAGGAAACACGTGTATAGGCAGCACAACT